TGCGAAACAGATTCGAGCACGTATCCGCCTCGGATTCTGCTCGCATGAAGCTGCGTACCTGGAAGCAGGTGGTGTCAATCCAAGATTACACGGCGACATTCTGCAATTTAGCTGACCAAGTGGACGACATGAGCGACGCGGAGCGACTCGACCGCTATGTTGCAGGCCTCAAGTACGAAGTACAGTACGAGGTGCGACGGGCGAGGCCACGTGCTTTTCTCGAGGCCGTCCAGGTGGCTGAATCAACGGATGCGCTGATGCAATGGGCGAGAATGAGTTCCCGGGAGGGCACTCAATTTCGTGGACCGCCGCGCCAGCCCACGATCAACGGGGTGGATGCACCGAGGCGTGGACCCAACACGTGCTTCAATTGCAACCAACCGGGCCACTGGAGGAAGGACTGCCCGAAGCTGAAACAGGGAAACAGGAACGACGGAGAGGGGTCGGGAAAAGAGACGAGTCAGTAGCAATCGGGCCACCTACTGACGCGACCCCGTCGCCCGGCAATCAACATCCACACCGAGTAGTGGTACCGATACGGGCTATCGACCGCAACCGGAAGAATAAGGTGGATGAACACGTGGATCACCCTGTGCTGGTAGTAGGGAGGGTTAACGGGCATAACATAAAATTATTCGTTGACGGTGGGGCGAGCCACAGTCTCGTCAACCTGGCAACGGCTAAAAAAATTGGGGTCAAGCTGGACAGGTGTCTACCCGAGATTGATGCGCGACTGGTGGACGGAACACCGTTGGCGATAAAAGACGAGGTCCGACAAATTCGGATGAAATGTGGCGACGATTTCGGGTTCTCCATGCGAATGCTGGCGACAACGCTGGACGGTTGCGATGTGCTGCTCGGAAGAGATTGGCTGCAGCGTTTCAATCCGACCATCGACTGGACGACGGGAGCGATCACGGTGCTGTGCAACAAGGGGCGCGTGACACTTCCGAAATGGGCGGAGCCGGAGCCGACGACAACACGTGTCAACGCGATAACATTGAAGAGGGCGATAAAACGGGGAGCGCAAGGCTACGCCGTACAACTGTACGAGGTGGTGGCTTCCGAAAAAATCGCCGACATCGACACGCTCTGCGCTGCTGTACCCGACGACGTGGCGACCATAATTCGGAGGTATCCCGAAATTTTCGCGGATGACCTGCCTGACGGGCTGCCACCTCAGCGTCCGGAAGACCACAAGATCGAGAGGGAGCCAGGCGCGAAACCAGCCATCCGGTCACAATGGCGGCTCAGCCAACCGGAGCTCGACGAATTGCAGAAACAGTTGGACTATCTGCTTTCCAAGGGCTTTATCCGGCCGAACACGTCACCGTATGCCGCCCCGATACTATTCACGCCGAAGAAGGACGGAGGCCTGCGCATGTGCATCGACTATCGAGCGCTGAATCGGGTCACGATCAAGTCGCGTTACCCGATCCCACGAACCGACGACCTGCTGGACCAGCTTCGCGGGGCTCGGTTTTTCTCGAAAATCGATTTGCGAGGTGGCTACCACCAGATTCGTGTGTTCGCCGACGAATGCCCGAAGACTGCATTCCGCACCCGCTACGGCAGTTATGAGTACACCGTGATGCCGTTCGGGTTGACGAACGCACCCTCGACTTTCCAGCTCACTATGAATGGGGTGTTTCGGGACATGTTGGACAAAAAGGTTATTGTTTACCTGGACGACATCCTGGTGTACAGCAAGACACGGGAGCAACATTTACGTGACTTAGACGAGGTGTTCCAACGCTTGCAGCAGAACCGACTGATTACGAAGGGCTCTAAGTGTGAGTTCTTACGGTCGGAGCTGGAGTTTCTGGGGCACGTGGTCTCAAGGGACGGCATTAAAATTGACCCTCGTAAAATAAAGGCGATTTCGGAGTGGAAGCCGCCCACAAACATCACCGAGTTGCAGAGTTTCCTCGGCTTCGTTAACTACGTCCGCCGCTTTGTACCCAATATGGCGGGGGTAACCAAGCCGTTAACCGATCTTCTGCATAAGGGCGTGCAGTTTTTTTGGGGGGAGAGAGAACAGCTGGCGTTCAACGAGCTGAAGAAAATTTTGAGTTCACCCCCGGTGCTTCGGCTGGCAGATCCATCTCGACCGTTCGAAGTCGTGACGGACGCCAGCGATTTCGCCGTCGGCGCTGTGCTATTACAGGATTTCGGAAACGGGCTGCAACCCATCGCGTACAAGTCAAGAAAAATGCAGCCGCCCGAGCGCAACTACCCGGTTCACGACAAGGAAATGCTCGCCATCGTGCATGCGTTTCGTACCTGGCGATGCTACCTCACGGGAGGGGATGTCACAATCCGAACTGACCACAAGTCATTGCAGTACATGCGCAGCCAACCACATCTCAACCCACGACAAATCCGGTGGATCGACTACCTCGAATCAAATTTCCGCTACACCATCACATATAAAAAGGGCGCCAACAACATCGCCGACGCCCTGACCCGCCCATCCATGCAGACCGCGGCAGTACTAATCGCCCATTCTAACCCTTTGGCAGGATTATTCAAGCACAGCTACAAGATCGACAGATTTTTCAGGACCAATCAACACCGCGGGGTCACTACACCGCATGGAAGTTACTACCTAAAAGTCGGTACTAACCGAGTTTGGGTACCTTCCTACCGGCCCTTACGCGACTTGCTGACGCAGGAAGTCCACGACTCCAACCTCTCCGGGCATTTCGGCGTCGACAAAACATTGAAGCTGCTGCAGCGGAATTACTACTGGCCCGACATGGCGTCGGACGTGCAGCGCTATGTGTCCGCCTGCCCGACCTGCCAGGCAATGAAGTCATCACGACAACGACCAGCTGGATTACTGCAGCCCCTCGAGCCACCCGAACGACCGTGGCAACAAGTGACTATGGATTTCGTCACGGGCCTCCCAGCCGGCGCAAGTGGCAACGACTCCGTGCTCGTCATCGTTGATCGCTTAACGAAAATGGCGCATTTCGCGCCCTGCCGTACAACGATCACAGCCGAAGAAACAGCAAGACTCTTCATCTCGACCGTCGTACGCCTACACGGGTTACCTTCGCGATCATCAGCGATCGAGATCCGAAATTCACGTCGAAGTTCTAGCAGGAGACATGGGCACAGTACGGTACCCGCCTACAGTTTTCGTCGTCCTACCACCCGCAAACCGACGGACAGACAGAGAGGACAAACCAGACGATGGAGCAGCTGATTCGCACGAACTGCCCGGACATCACCAAGTGGGAGGATTCCCTTCCCATGCTCGAGTTTGCGTACAATAACGCCCCATCTGCAACGACCAAGCAGTCACCCTTCTACCTGAATTACGGGATAGACCCGGTGGTACCCTCATCAACGACTCCCGACAACCCGGTCCCCAGGTCACAGCAGTTTATTTCAGAGCTCCAGGCAGCGCGCGCCAAAGCAGCGGACTTTATCCGAAAAGCGAATTCGAACGCCAGCCGCTACGCTGACCAACATCGCCGCAATTTACCTTTTCGCGAGGGGCAGATGGTTCTCCTGGACACCAAAAACCTCAAACTGCCCCAACCTGCAAAACCGCGTCCACGCTATGTGGGGCCTTTCCACGTCATTTGGATGCTGACACCGATCACTGCGAAACTCCTCCTCCCGGACGACTGACATATCCATGACGCTTTCCACGTCAGTTTACTTCGCCACTACGTGGCACCCCAGTCATCTGACGTCGCTCGACCCCACCAGGCGCCAAGTGTCCGACCGGTGGCATATCCCACACTCCAACCTTGGAAGATCTTGAATCATCGCATTCGTGCGACCCCCGCTGGACGCCACGTCGATTTTCTCCTGTGCTGGGTGGATCGCACGACCGACGACGACACGTGGGTCCCGGCTGACTCACTACAAGGGCACCCGGTCCTTCGGCAATATCTTTCTCGCCGGCAGGTGCCTGATATTGACCACCTTTCTTGAAGGGGGGGGTAGTGTAAGGAATTTCGCCAATTCCTTACTGAGGCACCTCTTACGCGTACACTCCCAACTTTCGGAATTCAGGCTCGGTCCGTCAACCTCGCCTCCCGAACGTCTTCCGCGTCGCCTTTGGGTTTTCCAAACCCAAACCTACACCCAACCCTCGCGTGACTCCGCGACCCCGGCTTAGCTAGCTATGCGATATTATGCCTAGGTCCCGTTGTTTGCTCAGTAGTTGTAATCACTTCCGCGGTATTGCATTCTGCGCACTCTTCTTTCATACAACTCATAACACACGAGATCTACAGCTTGGTGTTAAATAACATAAAATATATATAGATATATGTCATTTTATAAACGCCGGCGCTTATAAATTTACTCGATTATAAGCCCACCTCCATAAAAAAACCTGTTTTATTTTTGCCCCCCATGGGGGTATATCTGGGGTATGACCGTAGCGTATGGGATGTGCACATCGTAAGCTCATTCAGGATGTGCAGGAGAATTGATGCACCCATATGTTTCAAACATAATGGTGTTTCCACCCAAAAAACTTCCAACCGTACATACATCTAAGCATTCTAGTCTCACCGCACCGAACGCTATGTACACGCGGACCCACTGCCAGCAAGGTACAGTTCAAATCCACCATCCTCCCTGTCATTCCACTTTCATCACTCCCACCAAACAAATTGCTCTTAGTCGCACTGCCGAACGCTGTCGAATGCTGTCACTGCCGCTGCCGCTGCCACTGCTGCTGCTGCTGGTCTTCCCTTCCTCCCTCCCTCTACTTTCTGCTGCCGAAGAATCGCTGCATAACCTCACTAATCCCATCGCTCCCGCCCCTCCGATTCCCTACCTCCCTGCCCCCGGAAGTGCTACCAGCATGGACACTGAACGAGCCGTGCGCAGACCACCATGCCTCATCCTCACCCCCTTCCAGGCCCAACGCCCCACCACCGTGCTTTGCCAGGCCCAACGAGCCACCATCAGCCCCACCATCAGCCCCACCATCAGCCCCACCGCCAGCCCCCCCCCCCCCCTCCCCCCCTCTACTCACTACTGCCAAAGTATCGCTCCATCACCTCACTGATCTCGCCGCTCTCACCTCTCACAACCCCGCCCTCCCTGGCCCGGGGAGTGCTCCCAGCATGCACACTGAACGAGCTGTGCCCCGACCACCGTGCCTCATCATCCGCCCCTCCCAACACCCCACCAACCCCATAACCAGCCCCATTACCAGCCGCACATAGTCCTGACGCCCCACCCAGGCCTGATTCCGTGAGGAGGTCAGAAGTCTCCAGCACGCTCCAGTCACCGTCTTCAATCATCGTCACCCCTTCCACTCCAATGTTGCTCTCAGCCAATCCGCTTCCCACACCTACCTGCTGCTGGGGCTGCTGCTGCTGCTGCTGGTGGAACCGGGAGCGGGCGACAGGGACGGTTTCCTTGAGCATGCTAGACATTTCCCGCATCTTGGCCTCAAACTGCTCCTCGTCTTCGAAGGCAGACGGCGTGGGGAGGGCGAAAGTGCTTTCAATAGCAGCAGCAGCAGTGGCATTGCTGAAGGAAGAGTCACCAGGAGGGGCGTTGACCTCAGCAGCAGCAGCAGCAGCAGCAGCGGCGGTGGTGGTAGCAGAGGACGCGCCGATGTTTTGGGCACTGCACAGCTCCGAGTACAGAGCGGCAGCACCAGCAGCGCCAGCGCCAGGAAGAGCACCAGCAATAGATGTTGCAGCAGCTGCTGCATTCAAGTCACCCACGGAAGCAGGGCTAGAGGCGTTGGTCAACCCCAATAATCCTGCAACAAGGTTACTCGGGTCTTCAGCTGTGAGATCTGTGACGGGAGCGGCTTGTACGGCAGGCAGAATGGCATCAGGTGCAGACGCTGCTGTTGCTGCTGCTGCTGATGCTTGTGTGAGAACCTCGTGCAGAGAATGATAAGATTCCTGCTCCTGGACTGATGAAACAGAAAAAGAGAACGGGATGGAAAGGAAAGAGAAGAGGACAAACAGAGAGAGAGCAGAATGAGTAGACATAAACACACGGAATGAACCGGCGCATGTGCAGCACACACAGAAGGCACATGACTCCAAAATCGCTACCAAACCACACACACAAACAAACAAACCAGGTCATCCTCCGGGTTCCCAAGCAGCCAACGCAGCCCAGGCAGCCGCCCCACGCCCCTCACTACTAACCACATACATCACAGTCCCCATCCACACCACACCACTCACCTGCGCCATCTTCCTCTCCTCCTTCAGTAAGAAACGAGTACCCCAGATCCTCCGCTGCCTCTCCAGGCAGCCCAGACAGCTGCCACACGCCCCTCACTACCTCGTTACAAACATCACAGTCCCCATCCACTCACTCACCTTCGCCGTCTTCCTGTCCTCCTTCCGTCAGAAACGAGTACCCAAGGTCCTCCGCTGCCTGCCCAAACAGCCCGGGCAGCTGCCCCACGCCCCTCACTACCTTGCTACAAACATCACAGTCCTCATCCACATACTCTCACCTTCACCGCCTTCCTTTCCTTCTTCACTCAAGAACGAGTATCCCATGTCTTCTGCGGCCTCCCCAGGCAGCCCAGGCAGCCGCCCCACGCCCCTCACCAGCGCCGCCAGATCCTCTCGCAACACTGCCAGCTGTCCCTCCAACACGTCAGCCTCGTGGTGACGTGCCACCAGCGCGTCCGCCAGCTCAGCACACGCCCGCTCCTGCCTCTCCAAACCCGGCACCTCCCCCAACACCTGCCCCATATCCCTCTCCGCCCCTTCCAGTTTCCTCCTCCCTGCCTCCTCCCTCTCCCTCCTCCTCTTCTCCAACTCGCCAATCCTCTCCCTAGCTCGCTCCAGCCTACCCTCCAGCACCACTCTCAACTCCTCCACCTGCCTCTCCACGTCCGCGAATTGACCCTGAATCGCCTCGACCCGGGCTTTAAGCCCCTGCGAATCCTCCTGCAGCTGTGCCCGGTGCCCAAACACCTGCGCCGCGCGGATCTCCAGCGCCTGCTGCGACCGAACCACGTGCCGAAGCACGTTCTCAGCTTCGGCAACGTCAGCCTCGCCAGCATGGGACAGAGCGGTTTCAGCTGCGGCTGCCTGCTGCTCGGCGCGCTCCACCTCCGAGAGGAGCGTCTGAACGGATGCTAGCTGGGCGTCGAGGCGGGATTTGGCGTCCCTCGTGGAGGCCACGTGGTGGGCAATGGTGCTGACTTCGACCTCCACGAAGGAACGACTCCAGCTGTTCACTAGACTCTCTGGCACCTCCACATGCTCGCACTCTTCCTCCTCCTCTTCCCGCTCCTTTTGCCCCTCATCTTTCACTTCTTTCTCGCGCTCATCCGCTCGTTTCTCTTGCTTTCCCTCCGTTGCTTCCTCTCCTTCCTTAAAAACTTCCTGCATCCTGACCTCCTCTCCCTTGCTCTCCTCTTGCACAGCTACAGCCTCGTCCCTCTCCTCCCCTTTCTCCATTACAGGTTCTGCTTTGTGCGTGGCCTGCTCGGGCTCGCCCTGAATCTCTTCTCGACCCACCCCAGCACCGCCCTTGTTCTCTCCGTCCGCCTGTTGGGGTTCACTCTCCGGTTCACTCTCCGGTTCACCCTCGGGTTCATTCACAACGACCGCTTTCTCCACCTCCGCTTTCTCCTCTTCCTCTTCGGTCCCATCAGTAGAACCAGAAGCGCCGGCCGCATCAGCAGCATCCGCAAACAATTTCGCCCCCGCTTTAATCACAACTCCAGCCTCGCGTACGTCAGCATCAGCACCCTCGATAGAGTCACCCTCGACTTGGCCACCATCAGCCTTATCACCGTTAATAGCGTCTTCTTTCAGATTCTCATAAACCAGATCTGCGCCGTCCACAGATTCTTCCAGCGTCGCATCCAACGGCGGTGCACTTCCCGCCATGAGTTCTCCAAAATCTTCGCTATCGGAAGAAGCCGTCAGAGGTGCTTCTAACGAGTCTGCTGATCTTTCGCCAGTGGCGCCGATGGTGCCGGTAGTATCGATGGTGCTGGTGGTATCGATGGTGCCGATGGTGCTGATGTTGTCTGGGCCTTGGCCAGTAGCGACGAGGGCGGAAAGGTCCTGCTCATCGTGTTTCTCTCCCTCCTCACCGACACTATTTTCACTGTACAAGTTTGAGGACGCTGGCAGAACTGTCATCACCGGTATTTCCGACAAGCCGAGGATGATCCTATCGTCGCTGGAAGCCGCTGAGTCTTGCAGAGAAGCTCTTGACGCGGGGAGATTCTCCTCGGCTTCAAAAAAAGACTCCTCGTTAACGGCTTCGCCAGATGGATCCTCGTTATCGGCGGTCTCGTCAAAAGACTTCGCGTCAATGGGGGACGAAGATTCGTGTCTATCAGTAACCCCTAATGGTGCAAACCCGGCAGAATCCTGCAAGGGGAATAGCCAAATTAACTTTCAGCTAACATACACTAGGAAACAGAATAATAGGGAGAACGAGGAGAACGGAATAAATGAAGCCGGCCTAGCAGACCGGAACGAAATCACTTACCGTATTGATATTCTCGACATCGTCCTCCTTGTCCGAAATTTCTCCGTCGGAAGACGAGGAATCCGAAAGCGCTTCGTCCATGAGGTACTGAACCACCTCGTCCATGGCTTCCGGCGACGTGCCATGCTCGCGAATCGCCGCCTTCAGAAGCCTGACGTCCACCTTGGGAAACAGCTCCCGTAAGTGAGTTAGTGCATCCTCCATTCAGGGACGTCGCTGATTTCGTTGGAAGTGTCAAAACTTTCTACTTCATTTACGGTCGCAAATAGCTCAGAAAGAGAAACGAACACTGCGGATTCACAAGGGGAAGCAAGAAGACAGAAATACTCAAAAGCACTTGGAAGCTCACTCCAGTGCCTCAGATATATCAAGCTTGAACCTGAACTTGAACTTGAAAGGGCAAACTGGAAGGGGAGAAGCAGCACTGGCGAATGGTTTTTATCTCTTCCTCCTAGGGTTCTCTGTCTGTCTGCTAAATGCTCATTCATCCCTTCCTGTCTTCCGTTTTGGTTTGCCCTCACTCTCGGCTCGGGTGGCTGCGGCAAACCAGGAAGCACGGTTCCGGTGGACAATTATGTTAGGGAAATCTGGTTTTGATGGCTTGGCTTTTGCTGGCAGTTCCAGGCTTGGAGGCAGCCAGCTAGAAGAGGGCGAAAATCCCGTTCGTTATTGATGTTTTCCCACGGAATTAGGGAGGTTTCGATGCGGTGTGGAAGGCGTGAGATAACGACGTGGCGACACGGGTTTTGACATGCACCAATCACAGAGAGACGGATAGGGTGAAGTGAGAGGAGAACCGCCCAGCCCAGGCGGTTCTTTCGACGTTGGCGAACTTGACGGCGAGATCTTATGGCAGACGGAGCCTGTGTTGCTTCCCATTCACGCCATGTGATCTGCTCTAAACGATGCCCGATATCAATTTAGGGGGTTCCAGGTACATGTCAACAGGACACGAGTATAAGTATCAAGTATAGAATAGCTTAGATAAGTGACCGATAAATTACAGATTTCTCTAGAAAGGCTATAGAATATGAAATCAAATTATATGTTAAAATTTTTGGATAGGGGAAATTTTTCGCTGTCACATCAAGGCGCCTCAAACTTGGAGCGTTCAAAACGCAAGAAAATAAGAGGGTAAAACAAATAATAACCCGAATGGTACACTAGGAACAAATTCGGCAGAACCGAGGCATTCAGGTTCAGGGTTCCTGCCTGTTGTGCTGCCAGATGGTCGAGGATTCTCTGCGTTCTAGAGATTCCCAGGGCCGTGTAAGTGGTGCAGGATTCGATGAAAGCTGGTAGTGATTCTCTCAGCTCTTGCCAGCCGAAGTCTGCAAGTGCTTTACTTCACAGGGGCAGTTTGAATCTCAGAGGAATCGGCATTAGATTCTGAATCCGGTTCGTTGTCCCAGAGTCGCAATAAGGCCGCTTTCGGTCCGGTGATAAGGGAATGCAGAAATAACGCTGAATTCGGGGTGGTGATAACGAACGGTGAAATCATTTAGTAACATCCGAAATGGGCGAAGCAGCAGCGTGTTAGACAGTGCTGCGCGCACTTGCATACAGCCGATTTGTCTTACGTTTATACAAGGATCGGCTTTTAGCGGGGATACGGCAATGGACGAGGCGACAGAGCTCCAGGCGGTGCTGCAGGCCCTCGCTGTCGCCGTTGATTGGCGGACGGATCAGGCGTCTCGTGCTGCGGCCACGGAATTCCTCGAAAAGGTGATCATTGCTGTTCAGTGGACGATTTGAGTTGACTCAAAGTTCTCCTGGAATTCCTGGAAACTGTGGCCTTATGTGCTCAGAAATAGACACGGTCACGTTACCTGCTGAGCAACCAGATCCTGACTGTAGCCTTCTCATCCGACGGTGCTGCTCCTCTTGATACTTATGCCCGAAGATTCTGACCATAAACGGCACTCCTGGTCCTGCAGGCTGTTTCGCAGCCAATGCGTTCCTTCCTGCCTCAATAGCCCACGGAATTTCCATCGCTTGGTCAGTCAGGCCAGAGCACAGGGTTTGGTTAGGCCGAATCACTTGGGCCAGAAACTCACGAATCCAGCTCACGTTCTCTGCCACCCCTTCTTTCTCTGAAATCCCTTTCCACGCACACAGCTCAAGGCAGAGGAGGAGCCGCACCGTCAGGCGTCGCTAGCAGCCCACCTGGTGAACGGCGATCAGCCCGAGCATGCCAGGTCACTTGGTTGAGCAACACACGCAGCCTAATCACATTGCCTGCCACCTCTTCAATCCCTGAACCCTCCTTTCCACGCGCACAGCTCAAGACAGAGGAGGAGCCACACCGTCAGGCGTCGCTAGCAGCCCACCTGGTGAACGGCGATCAGCCTGAGCATGCCCGCCTCTTCGCCTTCCAGCTGCTGCAGGTATGCCGCCGCCCCATTTCGCATTACCCATTACCCGGTACTCATGGCCCATGAACCATGACCCTTGACCCATGACCCATGAACCATGACCCATGAACCATGACCCATGACCCATGACCCATTTCCCATCACACTTGAGCTATCAACCATGACCCGGCCCATGAACCATGGCCCATGGCCAATGACCCATGAACCATGCCCATGACCCATGAACCATGCCCATGACCCATGAACCATGCCCATGACCCATGAACCATGCCCATGACCCATGAGCCATGAACCATGCTCATGCCCCATGGCCTATGACATGAACCATGATTCGTGAATCATGGCCCCATGACCCCGCATGACCCATGACCAATTACCCATGTCCCATCACCCATTACCCAATACCCTCAAGTATCTACTCTCTTTTCCTTCCTCCCACCTGAACCCCGTCTCTCCCCCCCTCTCCCCTCCTTTCCCCCCCCCTTTATAAGAACGTGGCGCGCAACAAGTGGCAGCAGTTCCCCGCGGACGAGCGGCGCAAGCTGGCAGTGTACGCGTTTGATCTGCTCAGGTGCTGCGCCGACACTGCTGGGGAGCCCTGGTCCATCCGCAGCAAGGCGGCTGCCCTTCTGGCCGATGTGAGTCGCGTGTTGCTGTGCTGTGACCTTATGCTTCTGGCGAGGCTGGGCTGCCAGTGTACGCGTTTGAACTTTGATCTGCCCAGGCGCTGTGCCGACACTGCTGGGGAGCCCTGGTCCATCCGCAGCAAGGCGGCTGCCCTCCTGGCTGATGTGAGTCGTTCTGGCGGTGCTTGTGCTACTCCTGGTGCTGGTGTTTGTGCTGCTGCTGCTGCTGCTGCTTAACCTTTCGAGGACTTGCTTAGCCTTCTCTCTCCTACCCCACTCCTGCTGGTGGTGAATCATGAAGATTTGGACTCATGCAAAGAGTTTCTTTCCTGTGTAAAGACGATTCATCCCCTTCTCCACCCCATTACCTCCCCGTTTCCTCCGTCTTTTCTCCCCCACTGTCTCAGATTGTGAAGCACGAGGGGTCGGACCTGTGGAAAGAGATGCTGCCGTCTCTGCTTGCTCTCTCTGCTGCCAGTCCCGTCCATGTCAGTCAGGCGAGAGGGGGGAGGGAAGGAATGGGAGGGAGAGGGTGGGGGAAGGTGGGGCTGGGTTACATAAGTGAGTTGATTTTTTTTATTACTCTGCTCTTTTGCTGCTGCCACTTCTTTTTCTGACACCTGTTCAGTGATACTACCTCACTCTTCTTCCCTTCCCACACCCCACACCCCCCATTCTACGCCCCACAACCCTCCCTTCCCCCGTCACATGCACACTTCGCGTGTCCTCACATTGATTTTCGTTTTAGACATCTCAAAATTCGTCTACTTTTGAGACGTCTCAAAGTCCCCCCCCCCACCACATGCACACTTCGTGTGCCCTCACATTGATTTTCACTAATAACCCCTACCCCTACCACTGTTCTGTTCTCTTGACTTCCCCCCCTTGGCTGGCTGGGCAGGCAGAGACGGTGGCTCTTGTGCTGCAGTTTGTACCAGAAGATGTGACAGTCCATAACGAGGATATAGAAGGTGATAGAGCATACGAGCAAGTGACTGTCTACAACGAGGATAGTGACATTATCAATAGCAAGGATATAGAAGAAGACAAGTGTGCAAGTTTTGAGACGTCTCAAAACCCGTCTACAACGACTTTAGTAACATTGTCAATAGGAGGGATATAGAAGACAAGTGTGCAGCCGTACCCTCCTTCCCTTCTTCGTTCAGTGCAAGGAAGCGCATGTTCCCCCCTGTTATCAACTCTTTTCTAACCTTTCTGCCTTGGAAAACATGAGAAGAAAGATAGGCCGAAACTGTGACCCTCTGATCACCCCCATCCTCTGTCGTCAAATTTCATCCACTTGCTCTGTTCTGTTCTCCCACCATCACCACACCTGCCCCCTTCCACCAGGCAACAGGAGGCGTCAGCTGCTTCTCGGCTTTACAGCGACTCTGCCGCAAATCCTCCCCTTCCTCTACTCGGTCCGTGCTTTGCTTTGCCCACCTTTCCCAGTAAATTGCGTTTCCATTCATCCTGAGGCTAGTCGTTCTGATCTAGCAACCCTTGCCATTCACTGCAGCTTCTGGGCTCCAACTTCGCAGCAGCGCTTGCTGACATGCAGCAGATCCAGGTGAAGCCACGTGTAGATAGGTTATTTGTCAGACGTCTCAAAAATAACCTATCTACACGTGGCTTCTGGGCTCCAGCTTCACAGCAGCGCTTGCAGACATGCAGCAGATCCAGGTGAAGCTGCACAGCAGCAGCCGTGACTGCAGGCTTGGAAGTTCAAGCACCTCTTCATACCCAGTGCTTCCCTGCAACCCTGGCTTTTTCCCCACCCCTCGTCGCGTTCCTCTGCAGCTTCTGGACTCTAACTTCGCAGCAGCACTGGCGGACATGCAGCAGAGCAACGTGAAGCTGCAAGGCAGCAAACGAGACAGTGGGTCTTGTCCGCTCAAGCACCTCTTGATACCCAGTGCTTCCCTGCAATCCTGGCTTTTTCCCCACCCCTCGTCGCATTCCTCTGCAGCTTCTGGACTCTAACTTCGCAGCAGCACTGGCAGACATGCAGCAGAGCAACGTGGACGCAGCAAGGCAGCATGCAGCAGCCGTGACAGCAGGCTTGGCAGCACTGGGGGCGTATGCAGAGTGGGCGCCTGTGCCTGCAATTGCATCCGCTGGCTTGCTCAATGCGTGAGTTTTAGGGTTTGAGGTTTTCAGGTGTGTAGGTTGGGTGTTCTTGTGACAGCAGGCTTGGCAGCGCTGGGGGCGTATGCAGAGTGGGCGCCTGTACCTGCAATTGCATCCACTCGCCTGCTCAATGCGCGAGTTTCAGGGTTTGAGGTTTTGGGGTATGTAGGTTGGGTGTTCTTGTGACCGCGGCCCTGGCAGCGCTGGGGGCGTATGCAGCGTGGGCGCCTGTGCCTGCGATTGCATCCGCTGGCTTGCTCAATGCGTGAGCGTCCAGGTTTTTGGGTTTAAGGTTTCAAGTTCACTGTGTGTGAGGAGTGACAGGGGGGCTGGCAGCGCTAGGGGTGTATGCTGAGCTGGCGCCTGAGCCTGCTCTTGCCGCTGCTGGCTTGCTGCATGCGTATGACCTGCGGATGTTGAGGTTTATATCTAGAGTGGCTGCTCATGTGACAGCGGGCCTCGCAGCACCGGGGGCGTATGCGGATTGTGCGCCTGTGCCTGATCTCCGCTTTGCCGGCTTGCTGAACGTGTGAGTTTCCAGGGTTTTGGAATTCAAGAGTTATTTTGAAGTGTTTTCCCCTCTTTCCCCTCCCATCACCCACGTCCCCCCTCCCCTCCAGCTGTGGTTTCCTCCTCGGTTCGCCTGATTTTCGAATGGGAGCAGCGGATTTCTTCAAGCATCTGGCGGCCAGGTGGGTGGATGATGGATACGAGTTGGAGCAAGAGTGGGTGGTGTGGTGGTGAGGAGGGTCACTGGCACTCGAACAGTTGGGGGTGTAAGGGATAGTTCTCACCCAGGGCTGGATGGTTCATGGTGCTTGTTTCTCCTCAGCTCGCCGGGTTTCTGGATGGGAGCTGCGGATTTCTTCAAGCATCTGGCGGCCAGGTGGGTGGTGGAGGGAAGCTGGAAGCTGGAATAGGGTTGCTGGGCCTCGCCAAGGGCTGTCTGGTCGGTGGTGCGAGGGCGGTTCTATCTGGGGTGACCCGTGAATGATGCTTGAGTGTTTGCCAAGGGTTGGTTGGCTGGCTGGTGTTTTTGAGGTGATTTTTCTATCTTCAAGCTGATCGATCGGGGTTTTTTGAGCTTTATCTGAAGGTGATTTCTGTGTTAATAGTTTTCTTTTTCGCTTCCCCTTCTCCATCTAACCTCCGCTGCTGTGTGCCCCCTTTCTCTTCCTCTTTCCCCTCTGCTGTTCTCCCCTTCAACCGCTCACTCCCTTCAGGCGCTCCCCTTCGGACGACCAGGAGGCATTCAACGCCGCCATGACATCAGTGGCTGACTCCCTCGTCTCTGCAGCTGATGCCTCCTCGATCGCATCACCGCCTCTACAGGCTCCGCCCCCTCTTCCTCTCCAAGGAGAACAGGGGAACAGACAGGCAACGGGGATGGCAATCCTTGTAGTAACCCTCCCTCCCCCCTGCCCTCCCTCCCCCACCTCAGGCGAGCCCCTTCGGACGACCAGGAGGCATTCAATGCCGCCATGACATCAGTGGCCGACTCCCTCGTCTCGGCAGCTGACGCCTCTCTCGATCGCATCACCACCTCTACAGCCTCCGCCCCTGCTTCCTCTCCAAAAGAAACGGGGGGGCTTTTTGAGTCGACTACTAAATCGCCTCACCATCACCCACAACCCCCCCCGCCCCCCCTCCCCCCCACGTCCCCCCACTTTCCCTGCTGCAACCCCCTTCAGGCGAGCCCCTTCAGACGACCAGGAGGCATTCAACGCCGCCATGACATCAGTGGCCGACTCCCTCGTCTCTGCAGCCGACAATTCCCTTGATCGCATCACCACCTCTACAGGTTCCGCCCCTGCTTCCTCTCCAAGGGAAGCAGCGGGGCAGGGAGGGGGGATGGCAGCAGGGGGGGGCGCGAGGGGAGGAGGGGGGGCGGGGGAGGTGGATGAGGGGGAGGTGGCGTTTGCTGAAAGGCTGTGTGAGGCGATGGTGGCATTTGCGCCGTCGAATCTCAAAAGAGCAGCGCAGCAAGATGATTCTAGATATGCCAAGTTCTTCCACACGGTAAGTATTCGCTTTCACATCTAGGATTCTTCTGCATGGCAAAGTACTTTTGCGTCTACTCAAAAGAGAGCAGCACAGCAGGATGATTCTAGATATGCCAAATTCTTCCACACAGTGAGTTTGTATGTTTGTTTGATTGCCTCCTTGCTTTTTAAATTTGTTTTTAGTCTCCTTTTCACACGATAAGTTGCTACGCACGATGAGTAGTACAGTGTTTGGCATATAGATGACACGGAAACAGTCTGTGGAGATAAATAACCATTATCCTTGCTGAATATAGTCTTGCTCTCAACTTGAGGTGTGCGATCTCTTGCTTCCCATTTCTGGAATCGGTTTTATTCACTGGTGGTCCCCGTCCTCCTCGTCCTCACCTGCTATCCACTTCTTTCTGCTAATTACTTATCTCCTCTCCTCCCACCCTCGCCTTCCTCCTGCTGCCGCTCCCCTCTTGTGCCTGCAGATGCTTCGCTTCTTTGAGTGCAAATGCTTCTCCTTGCACGCCCTGGCGCTCCAACTCTGGCTGGTAAGCTCCCACCACTTAATGTACTTACATAGCACTTGGCAAGCACTTACCAAGCACTTACCAAGCACTTAGCAAACACTTAGCACGCACCTACCTTTGTCCTGGCTCACTGCCTCCTAGTTATATCTGGATTCATTGGGATCTAGGTAACTCATCCCACTTCCCCTCCACCCCGCATCTCCCCTCCTCCCCTCCCCCCACCAAAACTCCCTCCCCGCTCCCTCAGGTGTTACTGAGGGAATCAGCACAGAGCACGAGTGGCGGAAAGGACAACAAGCGCGCTGCAGTGATTCTCGTGCCGCCTGATTTCTGCTTGAGGCTGCTGGACGTGGTGGCAGATCACCTGCCGAGACGACCAGGGGAGGGGGAGGGGGATGATGGGGACGACAACGAAGGGTGGCAGGAGGAGTTCACCAACAGTGGAGACTACGCTCAGTACAGGAGCCGACTGGTAAGTGCACACTGCACAGGGGCTAGTGGCTTGCACTGGTTTGCACTGGTTTGCACTGGTTTGCACTGGCTTGCACTGGTTTGCACTGCACACTGCCCGATTTCTGCCTGAGGCTGCTAGACGTAGTGGCGGATCACCTTCCTAGACGGCCAGGGGAGGGCGAGGAAGAGGAGGAGGATGAGGATGGGGGTTGGCAGGAGGAGTTTGGCAACAGCGGGGACTATGCGCAGTACAGGAGCCGGCTGGTGAGTGTGGGAGGTAACTAGTGGGAGTGGGAGCTGACTGGTGAGTGCATGGGGGGGACTATTGGCTTGCACTGCTTGGTTCTGCCTGAGGCTGCTAGACGTGGTGGCGGATCACCTTCCTAGACGCCCAGGAGATGGGGAGGGGGATGATGGGGAGGACAGGGAGGGTTGGCACGAGGAGTTTACCAACAGTGGAGATTACGCGCAGTACAGGAGCCGACTGGTGAGTGCAGGAGGTGACTGGTGAGTGCAGGAGGCGACTGGTGAGTGCAGTGAAAATAGAGTGATAGCATGGATGGGTGGTGAGTTGTGCACCCATAGCAACCCTGTCTCCTCCCTGGCTTCTCTCCCCACCTCCCCCACTCAGGTTCCTTTCCCTCCCTCCCTTTCTCCTCTCACTCCCCCTCAATCCCCCTTCAGATGGACGTGGTTTGCCTGGTGACACAGCAGCAGCCGCTCGTAGCAGCCCCCCCTTCCCCTCTCCAATTCTCTCCACTTCCACCTCTCTCCACCTCTCTCCACCTCCCCTCAGATGGACGTGGTGCGGCTGGTGACACAGCAGCAGCCGCTCATAGCAGCATCCAAGGTGGCCTCTCGCATCGAAGCCGCGGTTGCTGCTGCCACCTCCGCTCCCCCGCCCCCCAAGGCAAGCCCTGGGGCATAGAGTATGGGGCATGGAGCATGGGGCATGGGCATGGGACATGGGGCACGGGTGCCTTGGGGCATGGGGCATGTTGCATCAGGCATGTTGCATGTGGGCATGTGGGCATGGCGCATGGGGTGTTAGTGAAGCAAGTTGGAAGATGCGGTGATGGCAGATGTGCCTGATGTTGTCATGGCAGCAGCTGGGCACGATGCATGCATGCTTCAACGTCCCCCACGGTGGGTTGAACACACGGGGGAGGGCTAAACTTCCCCCGCCCTCCCCCGCCCTCCCCCGCCCTCCCCCGCCCTCCCCCGCCCTCCCCCGTCCAGGTGGTGGCAGTGTTGGAGGGAGCGAGAATGCTGGAAGATGCGGTGATGACTGCTGTGCCCGATGCAGTCATGGCAGCAGCCGCTGCTCACTCCACCAACCCCGCCATTCTTGCTGACGACCTGGGGCTCATTGTAGAGGGTGAGTGGGGTAGCTTGTAACGAGTATGTGGGTTGTGGCATCTTGCAGCGGCTGCTGATGTGTGTGCAGTGGCATGACCCCATGCTGCTGGAGCTGCACTCCCTGCCACCTCCTCGCTTCTCCCCATTCATCTTGCTTTCCCACTCTACCAAAATTACTACAGTGGCTGCTGCTGTGTGTGCAGTGGCATGACTCCGTGCTGATAGAGCGTGCTGATAGAGCTGCACGCACCCACTCCTGTTCGCTCTTCCCCACCCGATTTCTCACCCCCCTCTCCCGTGACCAGGTGTGTTGCAGCAGCTGCTGTGTGTGCAATGGGGCGGCCCCGTGCTGATAGAGCTGCATGCACACCTGCTGGACGCCTTAGGCCCCTTTCTCAAGCACCCTTCCTCCTGTCTTCGCTAATCCTCCCCACAGGTGTGTTGCAGCAGCTGCTGTGTGTGCAATGGAGCGACCCTGTGCTGATAGAGCTGCACGCACACCTGCTGGACGCGCTGGGCAGCTGGACCCCTCCCCCCCCACCCCCCTTCCCCTCTCTTTGCTATTCCTCCCCTCCAGGTGTGTTGCAGCGACTGCTGTGTGTGCAATGGAGCGACCCTGTGCTGATAGAGCTGCACGCACACCTGCTGGACGCGCTGAGAGGCTGAGCCCCTTTCTCAAGCACTCTCCTGCCCCCACCCCTTCCCCTCTCTTTGCTGTTCCTCCCCTCCAGGTGTGCTACAACGCCTGTTGTGTGTGCAGTGGAATGACCCCGTGCTGATAGAGCTGCATGCGCACCTGCTGGACGCGTTGGGCCCCTTCCTCAAGCACTCCCCGCCCGCAGCTGCCCTCGTCATTCCCAAGCTCTTCGAGCTCCTCAGCTCTCTGCCACCCACCCCCCTGGTATGTATTCTGAGCTGCTCGTTCCCCTTGTTAAGTCACCACGCTCAGCCCCTTCCTCAAGCACTCCCCTCCTCCTGCTGCCGCCCTTGTTATTCCCGACTCAAGCCTCAACAGTCACCTCTCCCTCCTCCTGTTCCCTCCCCTCTCCTGTCTTCCGCCCTTTCTTCCCTCGCCCCTTGCCCCTCCAGGGAGTGGAGCCCATGCTCCGCCCGGAGCGCAGTGAGGACCGCCTACCTCGCCTGCAAGAAGAGTCACCTCTCCCTCCCTATCTCTCTCCGTGTGCCCCTCCCCCTCTATCTCCTTGTGGTCCTCCCCCTTCCCCAACCCTGCCAGGGAGTGGAGCCCATGCTGCGGCCGGAGCGCAGTGAGGACCGTCTGCCCCGCCTGCAAGTGTGCACGTCCATCCTCAGAGTGGCGCGCTCTGCTGACGTGGCCCTTGTACCCATGCTCAAGGTGCGTTACACGGCCCCTGGTATCGCCTCAGGCGACGCAGTGAGGAGGGGTGAGGTGAGATCCAATCGCCTGCCCCGCCTGCAAGTGTGCACGTCCATCCTCAGAGTGGCACGCTCTGCTGACGTGGCTCTCGCGCCCATGCTCAAGGTCCCACCACAAAGCATTATTGCCTTTGGGATATTACCTCAAGGCAGCATTAGGTTTAAGGTTTTTTGCTCCCTTTCCGTCCTCCTTTCCCCCTCTTTCGTTTGTTTGATCTCATCCCCCCTCATCCTCTCTTCAGGTTATGGTGCAGCGCGTGCAGTCAAGCTCTGAGACGTCTCACCACTCGTTCCCTCTCACTCACACCCTCCCCCTCTTCTCTCTCCAGGCGATGGTGGATCAGGTGATGGGCATTCGGTAGCAGCAGCAGGCAGCAGTGCAGCGCGTGCAGCAGAGCCAGTCTGGTGTTGAGACGTCTCACTCACAACATGTGTATTCCGATTCCTGGCTCCCCTCCTTTCCTCCCCCTTCTCCTTTCCCGGCGATGGTGGATCAGGTGATGAACATTGGGCAGCAGCAACAGGCAGCACTGCAGCGCATGCAGCAGAGCATGGAGACGTCTCACAGCTTGTGATCTTTCCTTTCCCCCTCTGCCCCTTCCCTCCTCTCCAGGCAATGGTGGATTAGGTGATGAACACCCGGCAGCAGCAGGCAGCACTGCAGAAGTGCCTGGCAATCTTTGAGACGTCTCATACCTCCTCTAATCTCCCTTTCTCCGTTCTCCACACCCCCACTCCTCTTCTCCTCCTCCAACTCCAGGCAATGGTGGATCAGGTGATGGGCATTCGGCAACAGCAACAGGCAGCAGTGCAGCGAGTGCAGCAGACGCAGTCAGGCGCAGTGCTGCATGGGGAGATCATTCTGCTCGCTGAGGCGCTGCTGCTGGTGGCTGCTGCTGCAGGGTGAGTGAGGGAGGGAGTGAGGGTGTGAGTGAGCAGGAATGAGTGGGTGAGTGAGTGTGGGAGCGAGATGCAAGTGCAGTGCAGCGAGTGCAGCAGACGCTTTCAGGTGCGGTGCGGCATGAAAACTCATTCTGCTCGCTGAAGCGCTGCTGCTCGTGGCTGCTGCTGCTGCAGGGTGAGTGATCATATTTCCCTCCCTCCCACCTTCCTCCCCCTCTCTCCACCCCTGGCTCCCCACTGTCCCTCCTCCTCTTTCAGTCCACTCAACATACTCTCCTGCCCTCCCCTTCCATTTACTCTAAATCCCCCCCCACCCCTCCCCACCAGCGCAGCCCCACTGAAGAAGCACGCATGGTCGAGTGCTAACGCCAATGGAATGTACTGAGTTGACTCAAAAACACCCCCCCCTATCCCCTTTCCCTCCCCCGCACCCGCCCACTCTCCCCTCCCCATGTGCGCCCATTTCAATCCCCTCCCCACCAGCGCAGCCCCAGTGAAGAAGCAGCCGTGGTAGAGTGGCTATTAGCACCCATCCGCGCCCAATGGGCGGATTCCACGTGGCAGGCGCGCTACCTCTCCTCCCCGGCAGCCCTAGCAGCACTCCTCCTCCACTCCCCCAGCTCGGGCTCCCAGGAGGAAGCAGACTTCTGGGCCGTCTACCACACCACGATGCTTCTTGAGAGAATCATGCGCCGCGCTGCTGTTGGCGGGGGGAGCGGAGTGGGAGGGGGAGGAGCGGGAGGGGGAGCAGGGGGAGGGGGAGGAGTGGCGGCGACGCCGCCGCCTTCCCCTGGGGTTGTGGGGGTGGCGGATGGGGTTGTGGGGGAAAGAAGCGGGAGTGGAGGGGGAGGGGGAGGGGCGGTGCACTGTGTGAGTCCGCACCTGCATTGGATTGTGCCTCCCCTGCTCAGAGTAAGATGAAGTTGAATAGACTCATGTGAATTGGGTGCTTCTGAGGTGGGAAGGGTGGAAGGTGAGGGGTGTGGGACGCGGGTGAGGCACTGTGTGAGTCCGCACCTGCATTGAATCATGCCGCCTCTTCTCAGAGTAAGACGAAGTTCAAATTGAGCTGATTTATGAAAATGGGGTGCTTCTGAGGTGGGGCAGGAGGAAGACGGAGGGAGGGAAGGGGGTGAGGCACTGTGTGTGTCTGCATCTACACTGGCTCGTACCTCCCCTGCTCAGAGCGAGATGACTAAGTGACTGATCAGGAGGAGAATGGGAAAAGATAATTCGGGGGAGGGTACTATGTCTCCCCTCCCCTTCTCTCCCGGCTGCTGCACTGCCTGCACGCCCTAAACCTTAAACCCCCTCCTCCTTCCCCAAGCATCACCTCTGTTTTCTCACCTACATTCATATTACCACTTCTCACCACTGCTCACCGCTTCTCACCACTGCTCACCGCTTCTCACCACTGCTCACCGCTTCTCACCACTGCTCACCGCTTCTCACCGCCGTATCTCCCTTCCCTCCCCTCCCCCCTCCCCAGTTGCTGCACTGCCTGCACGCCCTCTGGTCCCCTCAGGTGCTCGCCTCCCTTCCCCCCACCCTCGCGCCAGCACTGCTGGTGGGGCAGCAGGAGAAGGTGTCCGTGCTGGGGCAGGCAGGCGTGTCAGGCAAGCAGGAGGGCGTGCTGTTGATTCTTTGGGGGTTAAACCACCTACCACCCAAGTTTCTCAATGTTATATCTCTCCTTCCCCGCTTCCTCCGCCCCCCTTTCCATCCCAGCTGCTGCACTGCCTCCACGCCCTCTGGTCCCCTCAGGTGCTCGCCTCCCTTCCCCCCACCCTCGCCCCAGCGCTGCTGGTGGGGCAGCAGGAGAAGGCAGCAGTGCTGGGGCAGGCAGGCGTGTCAGGCAAGCAGGAGGGCGTGCCGCTGCTGCTGGGGGGGACCGGGGGAGGAGGGGGGGCGTGGGGAGGCGGAGGGGGAGGCGGAGGGGTTGGGGGAGGAGCAGGGGAGAGGCAGCGGGAGGCTATGGCTTTGGCGATGAGGCGAAATTGGCTCAAGTGTGTGCGGGACAACAGGTGGGTGGATTGTTTCCCCCCCTGAATGCCAAACATGTTACCATATCTGTAGCTTCAGGGCGACTTGGTTGTGGTGCTGGTGTGCAAGGGGAGGCTATGGCTTTGGCAATGAGGCGGAATTGGCTCAAGTGTGTGCAGGACAACAGGTGGGTGGGCGGATTGTTTTCCCCCTTCAATTCCGAACCTGTTACAGTATCTGTAGCTTTAGGGCTGCTACATTTTGTGGTGCTGGTAGGTGAATGTGGACTCTCTGCTCTCTGCTTTTCAGTTAATTAGAGAATCAACTCTAGTTCTGTTTTTCCCGGTCTTCCTCCTCCTCCGCCCTCCTCCCAAACAGTTATGGCTTCCTTGGTATGGCAGCAGCAAACGCCCCAGCAGCCTTTTTCTCCCTTCCCGAGCCTCCCGTCACGAACCTGCAATCCTTAGGCTCGGTCTCACCCCAGCAGCAGCAGTTCGTGCTGGAGGTTCGGGCCGCACTGGCCGATTCCGTGGCTAGCATGGAGGCTCGGCACCTGCGACTGCTGCAGAAGCTCGTCCTGCTCCCATTGGTCAAATCCTGTCCGCCGAGCCTCTATCCTCTCTGGCTCGGCACGCTCCTGCCACCGATCGTTCTTCACTGCGAACAATGGCTGACTGCCACGTGGCAGAGATTCCTGCAAGAAGGGCTGTGTGGGGGAGGAGGGGGAGGGGAAGCAGCAGGGGGTAAAGCGCTTGCTGCTGTTTCTGGTGGTGGTGAGAGTGAGAAGGAGAGGAGAGGATGGTTAAAGGATGAGCTGTTTAACGAGAAAATTCTAAGGGACCTGACAAGAGAGACCTGCGGCCTGTTGGCTCTCTTCCCTATCTTGCCTCAGTCATCCTCGTTACAGGCTGCCTCGATTCAAGCCACGGCTTCTGCGCTCATGGCTGGTGTCACTGGTGGTGGTGGCATTGCGGGTGCTGCTGGTGGTGCTGGTGCTGGTGGTGATGAGAGGATGGACATGCATTCGGTGGCAACCGCGGCAAACAGCTTGCTGCAGTGAGTATGGTTTGTGGTAAGGTAAGTGGTGGTGGTGGTGTTGCAGGTGGTGCTGTTGCTGGTGCTGCTGGTGCTGGTGCTGACGATCGGATGGACATGCATTCGGTGGCAACCGCAGCTAACAGCTTGCTGCAGTGAGTTTCAAGACGTGTCTCAAGCTTGCTGCAGTGAGTTTCAAGACGTGTCTCAAGCTTGCTGCAGCTTACGGATTCGCACCTCTTCAAGTCCACCACTGCACTTCCCTCACTGCCATTGCTGCGCAGCTCAGCCTTCCTTCTGAATCCTTCTAACTTCCCTCATTTCCCTGTCCGATCCTGTTTCTCTTCTGTTTTTTAACCTGTCTCCCTCCGCCCTCTTCCGTGCGCTCTTCTGTTTTCCTCTCTCCCTCCCCTCGGTTTCCTCTTGCAGCATCACCCTGAGGCAGCAGCAGCGTGTATTCGTGTGGCAATGGCAGCAATGGATTGGCCCGACAGCGACGGATCAGTAAACCCGCTAACCCCCCTCTACCTGTCTGAACCCCCCTTCCCCACACAGCTTCCTCTTACAGCACCACCCAGAGGCAGCAGCAGCGTGCATCCGAGTGGCAATGGCAGCAATGGACTGGCCCGACAGCGACGCCTCTCACAAGGCTGTCCTCTTCAACTCAGGCCTCGTGCACATGCCGGAGCTGCTCGCCGAACCTGCTGCACCGGCTTCCGAGCCTCCCGCGCAGCTTCGGGAGATGGTCGGCCGGACCATGTTTGCAGCGGCGGTGCAGGCGCTGACGCTGGAGTCTAATGCGGGGATTCAGGCGCATATTGTGGCATTATTGAGGGATATTTACCTTCGTTTGGGCCCTTTAACCTCTGCTCCTAGAGAGGTATGCAACACTTAGCACCCTTCTGCTCTCGTGCAACCTATAGCACGATCCTCCTTTCTCTTCTCCCGGGAACTTCACACTCCCTTTCTCACTCCCTTTTCCCTTCCACTCTGGCTTACCCGAATCTCCTCATGTCCTATACATACACATGCCTTTTCGCTCTCCTTCCTCTTCCCCCCTCCCCTTCCCCTTTTCCCGGTTCCCTTCCGCTTGTCCTCCCAGGTGCTCCTTTCACTCTCCATTTCACCAGAGGCCCTCGCTTCGTTCGAAGCTGCCCTCAAGAGTACGGGTAGTGCAAAGGAGCAACGGGCAGCTTTCAGAACTTTGCTCACAGGAGTCGCAGGGGGGCAGCTAAAAGCATTTTCTGCCCAGAAGAATCCTACGACCATCTCGAATGTCTCGGGTAAGTACACCCCCTGATTTTCCCGAATGTTCAATATATGTGGATAGTAATTTATTCCTATTATACTCCTGCCATATGCAAAAGGTGCAAATTCGAATCATTATGAATCTAACAGCTTAACCACCCCTGTTAACACCCCTCATGTTACCACCCCTCGTGTTACCACCCCTCGTGTTACTACCCCTCGTGTTACCACCCCTCGTGTTACCACCCCTTGTGTTACCACCCCTCATGTTACCACCCCTCGTGTTACCACCCCTTGTGTTACCACCCCTCATGTTACTACCCCTCATGTTACCACCCCTCATGTTACCACCCCTCGTGTTACCACCCCTCATGTTACTACCCCTCGTGTTACCACCCCTCGTGTTACCACCCCTCATGTTACCACCCCTCATGTTACCACCCCTCATGTTACTACCCCTTATGTTACAACCCGTTCAACCTTTCTTCGTCCCACACCCATCTCACCATCACTTCAGTTTCTGCCCCTCCGGGCCCCAATCCTTCTCTCATCGGGTACTCCTTCTCTCCTCTCTTCATTTCAGGGATTATAAGAAGCACATCAAATCCCACATCGTCATCTATCGATCAATCTGCACTGTCCATTGGCCTAGCATCATTTGGTAACATGCCTTCCAACCAATAGCAGCCGATCCATCGAAGCCATTTTTTCATTCAACCATGATGTCCTGTTTGTAAACAGCATTGGCTAGGTTCTTTTTCTTCACAGGACCAATTTTGACAGTGAGGAAAATTTGTAGAGCTAGATTTGCATGTCTGCATGATGTGAAAACAGCTTCTAGATTTGCTAGAAGCCCTACAAATTGCTTGCTTATAGGTCACACACTCTCAATGTCGCACCATCAAAATTTTCTTCAATCTCGCAAAACTCTGTCGAATGTTGGCATATCGGGTACCAAATGTTGACTTACCGTAGCTCGCCAATCTCCGAGGTTGAAGGAGGTGATCTAAGGGTGCGTCAGATCCGTTGTCGGAAAAATCCGGCCGGCCAGATCTAGCGAAGGTTACACATTCACGACATTCGCAAGGTATTTCGTTAATTTCGCACAATCTGGCCACTTGCTAAAATTTTGATGGCTGGTTTGATGGCCGGTTTAGCATTAGACAACTTTCCGACGTGCAAACGAATCGAGAGTCGACCACTTTGTCGACTCGTCAGCGCTACAGTACCTATGCGACTTGGCCAACATACCCAAGCGACTCAACGTGTCACAAGGACGACTGGCACGGCGCTTTCAGCGCCGTTGAACATGACCACTTTTCGGGGTCACACTTGTGTAGTGCGGCACGTGCAATGTCACGCGAAACCAATCTGCGACTCGCCACCCCGTCTTGACTGCGGAACATTGTTCTACTCCCTATCAACATCACACATGGCATGCTTCATTTTTAACATCATTGCCAAACTCGTCCAAGCAAAAACAGATTATGGCTTACAGGGATAGCAACGACCTGAACACCCAGTCTAGCGATAATGGCGGCACCCCAGGCACTCGCCCAGATACACAACAATCTACCAACGACCCTCAGCCTCCACCCATCAGAACTCGCGGGGAGTCTTCCCGTGCGCACATTAACCCGTGGGAGCGTAATCCAGACTGGTGGATTAACAACCTTCCCCGCCCAGACTCGCCTTATGGTATCAACGATGACTACGGGGTAGGCGAGGAGGCCCCCGAAATATGCTCCGCCAATGACGACGAGGAGCTCGACCCCAACTTAGGACGTACTAACACGGAGTCAGCGACCGCTACTACATCTACCGCTACCCGGACCACTTTGCCGCGTTGGACCAAAGAAGAGGATTTCTTGCTGATGCAGGAGCGTCACGACATGCACGATGACTGGAATAACATGCGCGGACTGCAAGGCCAGAGCCAGCACGCCAAGCTGCATCGCAACCTGCTCGCCTGTAATCCGAGGTGGCGCCACGCGGTTTCCGCTCTCCGACCGAAGCTCCGCCGCATGGAAGCCACATGGCTTCGTTGGAGCAAGGTCTTGGAGCGCTCTGGCGAGGGTCGTGTGGAAGGATGTCCGGCGTGGTATGATCTGGCCGACGCGATTTTCCGACCGCGCGAATCTGTGAATCCAGAGACTACTGTGGAAAGCACCCCAACTACAACGACGGGCAACACAGTGCCATCTACGGCGAATGGCGGGTGTCAGAACATTATAGCTTATGCTTTTGTGTAGGCTGTAGTGGGGTAGCCCATATGGGGTACAACCCAATTAGGGTTAGTACTTGTACCCAACTCTTTCATAGTGCATTCATTCTCGTTCTAGTTTTCTCATGGTATCGAGAAGGTTCCCTCGTGGGAATTGTTCCTAGGGCCCACCAATTCGATTTTTTTTTTCCTGCCCGGGGCGCGCTCAGTTCCTGCCCGAGTCGCGCTCCCCTCTCTCGACCCTCTCGCGCCGCCTTAGCGGCCCCGTCGCGTCGCGCTAGAGGCCCCGTCACGTCACCCTCGCGGCCCCATCCCGTCCCGCCGCCCTAGCGGCTGCGTCCCGCCGCCCTAGCGGCCGCATCGCCTACTCCTGCGGCCCCGGCGCCGCCCTTCCCGGCCCCGATCTGCCGCCCTAGCGACCCCGTCGCCTACCCCGCGGCCCCGGCGCTGCCCTTCCCGGGCCCCGACGACGCCCTTCCCGGCCCAGCCCTGCCTCTGCTGGCCCCGTCGCCTAGCCCTGCGGCCCCGGCGCCGCCCTTCCCGGCCCCGACGCCGCCCTTCCTGGCCCCGATCCGCCGCTTTGCGGCCCCGTCGCCTACCCCGCGGCCCCGGCGCCGCCTTTTCTCGGCCCCGACGCCGCCCTTCCCGACCCGGCCCAGCCTCTGCTGGCCCCGTCGCCTACCTTGCGGCCGCGGCGCCGCCCTTTCCCGGCCCCGACGCCGCCCTTCCCGACCCGGCCCCGCCTCTGCTCGCCCCGTCGCCTACCTCTGCGGCCCCCGACGCCGCCCTTCTCGGCACCGGCACTGCCCTTCCCGGCCCCGGCCCAGCCTCTGCTGGCCCCGTCGCCCGCCCTTCCCGGCCCCAGCCCCGCCTTCACGCAGCCCCGCCGAGCTACTGCCGAGCCGCCAGCGCCACCCGAGCCGCCCGAGCCGCCGCGCCAAATGAGCCGTCGAGTCGCCGGGCCGCAGTTGCCGCCGAGCCGCCCGAGCCGCCGAGTCGCCGAGCCGCCGAGCTGCAGTTCCTGCCGAGTCGCCGAGCCGCCCGAGCCGCCCTATCCGGTAAGAGCAGCGCCTCTGTCACTGCACTGCCCTTACCCCACTGTTCGCGCTACTAGTCTACTGTTGTCATGGCTACCCCTAGTGTCCTCGCTTTTGACGCTGAGGGTCGGGCCATTGACTTTGACGTCTAGGTAGATGACCTACAGCTTTTCCTACAGTGCGATAGGGCAGACGGTCTCTCCCTCTTTGACCCCACCTCTGGTGCTTCTCCTGCCCCTGCTGCTGATGCTGACGCCACTGTTCGCTCACACTGGGCCACACGCGATGCTGCTGCACGTCTGCCTACCTCTGAGCGTGCGCACTTTAGCCAGTACAAGAGTGCTCAGACCCTGTACGACGCTCTAGTTGCATGCTACTCCTCCCCTGCCACTGCTGCACTGAGCCGCCTCATGCTACCATACCTCTTCCCTGACCTTGCTGCCTTTCCCACATTTGCTGACCTCATTACGCACCTCCGCACTAGTGACACTCGCTACCGCGCTGCGCTTCCTGCTGACTTCTGCGCCAAGAACCCCCCCCCCCATGTACATCACTCTCTACTACATCGTCACCCGCCTCCCTGACTCCCTTCGCGTAGTCAGGGACCACTTCCTCTCGGTTTGCCCCACCACTCTCACCGTTGACCTCCTCGAGAACGCCCTCCTAGCAGCGGAGAAGAGCATAGTCGCTGTAGGAGCCTCTCGTGGTGACCCTCGCACCCCCATCTTTGTGGTTCCCCCTCCCCCCTTTTGCCCTCTGTTGCCTCTGCTGTTGCGGCCAACCTCGTTGGGCTTGAGTCGGTCGGTGCGGCGTCTACCCCTAGCGGGAGACGCCGCCTTGGCAACGGCAAGGGGGGCAGGGGCGCTGGAGGAGCTAGCGGGGGCGGTGGAGGCGGCGGAGGGAGTGGGGGTGGCGGTGGGGGTGGTGGCGGGGGTGGAGGTGTCGGCGGCGGCAGTGGAGGCGGAGGCGGCGGCGGTGGCGGTGGGAGCGGAGGTGGCGGAGGTGGCGGCGGTGGAGGAGGCGGTGGCGGAGGAGGTGGAGCTGGTCGGGGTGGCGCTGCGCAGAGAGTCGGCTCCGGTGGTGGTCAGCGCCAGCAGCACCAGCGCACTCGTGACATCCCCCCCCCCTCATCAGCTCCGTGAGTGGTACGCTGCACGCCAGCGGGGTGGGGGTACTGGTCCGTGCACCTACGTCCTACGCACCGGCGACCGCGCGGGTGAGCAGTGTGGGGGTGCGCACTCCACCCAGCGCTGCTTTGGCCGCCTGACGGACGCTTGGCGTCACCAGTTCCCGGAGGCCACGGAGATCCCCCGCTGGGGTGAGCTGTCTAGGGTGGGAGTAGCTATCTTTGACCTTGACTTTGATGCTATTCTTGCTGCCATGTAT